TGTACTTCCTGAAGTTCTGCCAGGAGGTGGTGTCTGTGTGATACTCAGAAGGTGAGTCTGGGAAGGTGGAAGTGAGGAATACAGGATAGAGTTACACTGGGAGATTGGGATGCAGTAGCATGGGGGGCGCAGAGGAGGGGTGTGTGTGCATAGCCTGGTTGCTAATGTCCCATGTGTGGGGTGGTGGGCAGTGGAGCCATGGAACTTCTGTTAGGGCAGGTCTTCTAGAACTCAGAACTCTGAGCTGCATTGTTTCTAGCTACTAGCAACCAATATGTTTCGCTGTCCTCAGAAATTCTATAGTTTTCTTACTAGTACCCTGTAATCAGTGTTTTTTTGCTTTTCATAACTAGAGTGGATTCTGTCATCTGCAAGTTGGAATCCTTCCAATAGATTACTCTATCCAAATCACAGCTGTTCAGCCTGGGCTCAAGGAGATGTGTTGTGATACCATTTTTTTCAAATCCCCTGATGTTGTGACCAGTCTCCTATTACACTCTCTTCTAGTTACGGATCAGAGCCTTGATCTCTTCCTCCCACGTGCTTTGACGCTGAGCAGTCAGGGAGTTTCCAGCACTCCCTACCTGGCTGCTGATCTTTTCCTGTTTCCTCATCCTATTCTCTGAAGGTTTTCATTTCAACATCCAGCCTCACACTCTTCCTTGGCTCTGTTGAAGCATCTCCAGCACTGTCACTTGGTTGTCTTTTGACAGGTACAACCATGAGAACACAAACACCACAGAGAAGTAAATACATTGAGTTGCATGACTCAAAGTGGAAAAAAAACACAAGAGCTCATTGACCAGAGTTTCCAGTACGGCATCCCATGAGCACTCTCTTCAGCCAAGGCATATAATATTCCATCTACCAGCTAATGAGTGGGTATTGGGAAAAAATCTATGGTAACTCTATTCTTCAATACTGTAATTCCTCATGTGAATGACACTATCAGCTTTGCATAGAATACTACATGTAGTATACTTCTGTTGTACAAAAGGGCAGATGGCAGGAAAAGTGAATATAAGCCCTAAAAGCTGACTAGAGATGTTTCAGGTCAATAGCGCTAACTAGACAGTGAGAGAAGGCACCTGTGCTAAAAAAGGATGTAAAGTAGTTCTGATTCTAACACCAAATTCCAGTGTGTCTCAGGTTTTCCCTCACACCACCAAGCAATTTTCCAACATCAGCAGAGTGTCTGACAATTCATCTCAATTCTGACACTATCTACTCAGAGACAGAACAGATCCCACAGATTAAGGGCTCAGTCCCACAAGGCTGCCCCCACCTCAGATGCCCATTGCAAGCCCAGGGTGTTACCTGTGCTTCGGACTGATTGGCTGAAAATCAGTTTCCCACAACCCCTTCCTCAGGTTTGATTCGTTTTCTAGAGCAGCTCACAGAACTCAGGAAAACATTTACTTACTAGATTACAGGCTTATTATGAAAGGATATAATTCAGGAGCAGCCAGATGGAAGAGATACATAGAGCAAGGTATGAGGGAAGGGAGAGGAGCTTTCATTACCTCTCTGAGGTGCCACTGTCTCTAAACATCTGTGTACTCTCCAAGCCAGGAGCTCTCCAAACCCCGTCCTTTGGTATTTTTATGGTGGCTTCATTACGTAGGCAAGATTGATTTAATCACTGGCCATTGACGATCAAGTCAACCACCAGCCCCGTCTTCCCTATTCGGAAACCAGGGGGTGGAACTGAAACTTCCATCCCTCCAATCAGATGGTTTGTTCTCTGGGCAGCCAGCCCCCATCCCTAGGTGCTTTCTAGAAGACACCTCATTAACATAAACCTGGTTGTGGTGCAAAGGGACTGGTTAGGAATAATAAGACAACCATTTAACCTTTATGGCTCTGAAGCTATTTCAGGAACTGAGGACAGGAGATCAAATATTAATGACCGAGGATGCTCTCATTGCTCTTACAGCTCTGGAAAGTCCAAGAGTTTGGGAAGCTGTGAGCCAGGAACTGTGGACGAAGACTAAATATATATTTCTTATAAATCACAATATCACACTAGCCCAGTGGTTCGCAGCCTTGACTACACATTGGAATCACCTGGGACTTTAAATAAATGTAAATAGGGAAGCCTGAACCTAGACGAATTGAAGCAGAATTTCTGTGGGTGGAGCTCAGGCAGTTTTTAAGCTCAGGTGGTTCTAATGAGCCTGCAAGACTGAGAACCACTGGGAAGTGTTTTCTATTTATCCTGTGAAAGTGGATTCTTCTCTTTATGAGGGTGTCTTAGGATATGAGGCAAGGTAACCACACAGGTTTTTCTAGGAAGTAGCATTTGTGGCTGGAGGTTAGCTTCTGTTTGGACTCTTGCACAGATCAGGCGGATTTGGTGTGAATGGGAGCCAGACAAGGGCATGAAACTGGCAGCAGGGACCGCTGGGCTACCTTGGAGTCCCCCTTAGATGGTGCTTTGTCTTCCAGCCGGCAAAGACTCCAACAGCCAGCCCACAGACCCCATCCGCTGTCCTGGAATTGGGACGGCTGAGTCCTCTTTTCAGGGCTGAACCTGAAGGCACCATTCACAAAGCTTTTTAGTTTCTACCAAAGAACATCAGCGGCAAATGGGTCAGGAGAGTGGGAAAATATTTTCTTTAGAGCAGGAGTTGGCAAATTTTTCCATTAAGAACCAGAGGGTAAGTTATTTAGGCTTTCTGAGACAAGAGGTAAAATCAAGGCTATCGTGTAGGTTCTTATACGACTAAAGAGAAAACTCCTGCCCTGCCCTGTCCGACCCCAGACCATTTGTCTGGGGTGGGCCATCAGCAGTGCAACAGCTTGCTGGCATGAATGGAATCATACAACATACAGCACTGCACTCGTTCGTGTGGGCTTCTGTCAGTCCTGGCAATTGTTGCACTTGTGTTTCTGTAAGGACTGAATGTAGTGGACACCGCTCACAAGATTCTGGGGCTGCCTTTTTGTCATGAGATTGGCTCTTTTAGAGGAGCTTGGCTGGAAGTAAGGAAGGCCTGTGAGCGATCCAGCCGGCCAGCCCAGGGTGCTCTGCAGACAACCAAGATAAATGGTACACTGATGCTACAAAAGTGCCTCGCAACAAACCAGTTGCCTTGTGACAGGCACACTAACCAGGAAACTGAATCTGACCAGTGAAGTTGATTAGGGAGGTCCCTCTTGACCTGAATCCTACTGCCTCAGAGACTCATTAGCCTCCATTTACTTAAAAGAAAAAAATTTTTTTTACAGGGCAGACATATTCTTTTTTTTTGTAGGAGAGCAAGGTACAGGCTTTTATTTAGAGATTAAGTGAGAGAATAGAGCTCCTGGCTCATGCCAGGAGGGGACAAGAGGGTCCCCAGGGCAGACATATTCTGCAGTAGAACAGCCTTGTTGTTTCACTCACATATTCTGCCCTGTGAGTGAGTGTGAGTCAAATTTTTTAACTACAACTCATTTCCAGAGTTCAGGGCTGCTCTGTATTACCGTGAAGGAGCTGTGCACTGCATAACTCCAGAGAGCACCATTTACCCAGGATGCAATGTGAACAGCTGCCTGTGGAACCAACCGCACAGTGCAGGCAGCAGAGTGTTAGCAGAATCCATTGCCTGGACACAGACTACATTTTAACTTAGCATATGGTCCTGATACATAAATCTTCATCAGTTATACATGCTTGGGGAAAAGGCTCTTCAAATTAGCTAAGTATTCTGGGTAACCCATTAGCCAGAAATCCTTTCTTAGAGGGCCAACAGATTAAAATGATTGACCTGTATTTGATGACTAAGATTGTACAGTATCTCCTTTGGGTGTGTATGTGTGGAGAATGAACTGTAGAGAAGGTGGGCAGTGATTACATTTTGAATATCCTGCTACTCTATATCTGATTTGAGAGTCAACACTGACAGGGCATGTTCCAGATGCCACACACCTTTCTGAGCACTTACATATGTTAGTTCCCCTATTCTTCACCATAGATTGTGCCATTGGTACAATTATCCCCATTTCAAAGATGAGGAGACTGAGGCCCAGTGAGGTTATCCTGCCCAGGGTCATACAGCAAGTTCTGGCCCTAGAACCCAGACAGTGCACACACCCACTTCCTACATTGTTCATGCCATTCATGAATGCACTCATGAGTGCTTGGAGCAGCCTCAGGTGACCCAACAGATCCACATACCTCCTCTTCACCTGGGAAGGGGAAGCTTATGAAATTACTCCTCTTGATTTGGCTGCATTAAAGTTGAAATCACTGAGAACTAATCGCAACCTCCAAACACTTTCCATGACAGAGAACCAGGGCAGCCACACTCCAGGGTGGGGATCTAGTAACAGGCCCCATCAGGACCTTGATCTGTGCAAACTCTCTTCTAATCCCTTTGGGCCTTGCTCAGAAACTAAACCAGTTTCTGTATGACATGAAAAGCTGGAAATGTCCAGGTCAGAACAGGGACCTGAGGCCCCAGGGTCTAGACACTAAGGCTTCCAGTGTGAGCTTGCAGGATAATCCTATTATGACAGGCTTCTAAATCCCCTAATTGTGCTGGAATGTGGTATCACTAAAAACCAGATTACTGAAAAGAATGGGCCAGGCAGGTGTGGGGGTGCTGATGGTGGAGGCACGGCAAAATGTCTCATGCAGGGACTTCCTAGGTAACTGTATGGACAAGGGCATTCTTCCAACTTGGCTCTTGGCTTACAGATGTTGTTCAGTTAAGGTCTGTCAACCTAGTTGTTCTAACAAGACCTAACTTTATGGAAGGATGTGGCAAAACCACTCCCTTTTTGCAAGAGCTCTGGTAATGTTGAAGAGGAGGAGTCCAGAAGCAACCAAGTACAGCCACGTTACTGATGCTCTGCAGCAGCTTTGCCCATCTGAGCAGGTCTACCCTGCTTCAGGGGGTCATGCTGGCTAAAAGCAGCTAGAAAAATCAATTAAATCTTCGGCAGGCCATCCCCTAGAAGGGCTCCATCAGTAAATGCCATTTCAAAGCACAAGAAAGGAATAAAGGCACATGCAGATCCTAATAGAAATAGTGTATTCATTTTTGAGGACTGCTATGTTTTAAGGCAAATGTCACACACAGAAAACAGAGACGAACAGTATTTACATGTTAGGAGACAATAGTGGGGGAGGCATCTACAGACAATGAGACAGTGGGAGTTTCTCCAGCTGGGTCACTTCCGGTCTGATTCCTCTTGTGGACTAAAAAACAAGAAAAATGGCACCTCCTCCCTCCCTGGGCAGAGGTGGGGTAATCACATCAGGATTTTACACAGTTGCACCATTCTCCAGGCTGCAGCACTCTCCTCACTGCATGTCAGGTCAGAGGATGCGAGGTCACTGGCTCTTACTGTCCAGCTCTAATTTCCATGTTTTATGAATTCACCTTTAGAAACAGGAGAATCAGGGTACGAAAGCCACACAACCTGCAATCAGCTAGCCTCTGTCCAGCTCAAACTTGCTTGCACTGGAGCTGAAATAATACACCACACATACATATAAATGCATATATATGTGGAAGAAGGAAAGATCTTCTTAAGCCTGGAATATAACAACTCTTCATGTGCAGTTTGGAATCAAACAGTGTGACTGTTTCCCCTTTAAAAACAAAGGGTACCATACCAGTAACAAGCTCTAGGCAGAGGAGAAAGGTTTCCAGGCACCTCTCGGCACAGTTCCAGGTCACTCCTGGCTGCGTAGGAAATGCAGGTGGCTTAGCTGATTTGAGTTGGAAGAACTGGGCCTTCCCACTGGTAGTTCAGCTCTGCACCCCATGGCTCATCCCCGCCATCCTGCTTAAGCTCACACTCTGAATTTTAAAGTGTTAGAGCTTGACTGTGTCTGTCCTGTCTGCCGTTCTCATCACATCACCATGTGACACACATTGTAATGGCATGTTCCTCTCCTGTGACAAGGCCTGGGTGACAGCAACAGCATACACAGCAACAGAGAAAACAAGGGAATGAAGGAGGCCGAAACTTTGGGAGTGTTAATAATGGCCTGCTGTGGGGCAGCAGAAATGGTGCCTGGGTCTGGGAGTCACAGGGAAGTCAGGAGCCCGGAAATGTGGTGCAAGGCAGGTAATGAATCTAGGAGCACTTGAAGGACATTGGCAAGAGGCTGCATCTGAGCTATCCAATAACTACAAAGAGAACAGGTGGCGAGATGAAAGTTGCTAATCATACAGAGAACAAAGCCCTGCTCATAAAAAGCTGTCTTCACCAGAAAGGTATCATTTAGTGAAAAATAAAAAGAGTGTAGGGGTGTTAGCACTTGGTATCCAAGGAGTGAAATGGTTGTTTTCACGGATTCACTCAGTTCACCTGGCCACATCCCTCTGGGATAGGTGAGAGGCAGGTGACATCAGCCCCATTTTACAAATGTGGTAAAGCGAGGCTGCAGGACTTGCTCCATGTCGCACCACAGACACATGCCAATAGCCACAGCAGTGGTGTGCCGTTAGGTCTGCCCAGTCACTGGCAACATGGGTCTTCTTTATAAAGCCCCCTCACCTGAATGCAGACCAAGTCAGCAGGTATCTGGAGGAACGTGGACATTTGGCTTGTAATTTTAAACTTTGATGTACTGGCAGGAAAGGGAACCAAGTCCAAGGAAATTAGTAGAAGCCAGGGGATTTGGGGACATGGGAACCCAATTGGTGGGTTCATGATTTTTAATTAAAAAAATTATTTTTCTTAAGTGCAGCATTTTAGGGAGAGTTTGTTGAATTAAAATAATAGACTAGTAACCTAACAAGGGTCCTGAATAACATGGCCACATCTCACCTCCCTGGAGGAAGAGGCCCTTCTCTGGCCGGTTGCCAAATCTGAATGGATGGGGATAAAGCTACAGAGTTATCAGAGGCCCAGGTCATGGAAGCAGAAAATCTCCCCAGGACTGGGATGGGAATGGGGACAAAAGTATATGTGTGCATCCTGTCTTGATTAGGGTACTTCCCCACCCCTTGCAGACTGCACTTCCCTTCCTTTCTTGGACCTCAGAACTCAAATTGTCTCCCTAATGCCACTGACCAGGGACCTCAGCAGTGCCAACAGCCTCTGGAGTATTTCTGACTCGACCATGTGCCGCACCCCCAACTCACAACAACCAGATTCAGAAGCTGGCCACCCCTAGCTGCCGCACAACCTCTGCACCCCTCGTGAGCCCTGTCAGCAAATTCTAGCCAAGGCAAAGAATTTTGGAATTCTTCCAATTATTGCGCCTGGTGAGGCGAGGTGACAGATGATGGCAAAACCCCCAGGTTGCCCAGAAGGCACCCAGTGCAGAGTGGACAGGGTGCAGCGAGAACATCTGCATTTATTTTCCGAGCTTTAGCCACTAGGTCTCTGTGAGCCCGTCACTCCCCTGAGCCTGGCAGCTCGAGGGTATGTCTCCAAACAGAGCCCAGTGCACACACAGTTGTTGCACCTGGTTGTGGATCAAGCCAAATGTCAGTGTTCTGGTCCTTGGTAACCAGTTCCCACTGGGAAACCTGACGCCTGTGCCGAAAAGTACCCCTCACACCCGTGACTGGGCCAAAGCGCTGCTTGGGAGGCTGAGAGTGGCACCCAGGGTCCAGTGGTGACTGACAGGGTGGTACACCACAGCTGGCAGGTGAGCCCGAAGTCCAGCACCTTCACAGGACTGATTCCTTGGATTCCATTTCTGGGGCGCTGGCCACAGGGCCAGCAGGGTTCTGGTGTGTCACCAGCGGTGAGGTCTCCTCCTCCGACTTGGAGTTGGGGACGGCTTCCACTTTCACCTCGCTCAGCTCCTGCTCCCCCTTCTTCACCGCCTTCTGATTCAGGTAGTGGAGGATGCCCGCACCCAGGGCATCCCCTTCCACGTTCACCACCGTGGTGGTGCGGTCCCTGGTGGGAAAAGGAAAGGGCAGGTGTCATAGCCGATGCTGCCTGGCAGTTGGCTGCACACCGCAGAGGGACCACCACTCTGAGTGGCCCTGCTGCTGTCCAGGGAGCATGCTGCAAAGGACACAGGCCTTGCCAGACTCCAAATGGACCTCCTTTAAGTATTTTTACTCTTAAGAAAGTAATAGGCCCTCATGGTAGAAAACGTGGAAGAAAGAGAAGTAAACAAGTCTTTCACCCTTACACCACAGCTGAGCAAATCAGAATTAATCTGCTTCCTTCCAGGCACCTTCCTATGCATGTATTCTATGTGGAACGGACCCCATCATATAACCATTACATAGAACTGGGATGACGGTATAGATAGGATTTTGTGCCCAGCTTCTTCTCCCACTCACCATTACACAGTGGGAGCTTCCCTTCCTTTTCCCATTTTGACACCACATCTCTACTGAGTATCATCCTCAGATGCATTCCCTGGCTGTTGGCAACCAGCATCTCACAGAAAATAGCACTTTTCCAGAAGCTTACCTTCCCATAGATTAGCCCAATAACCATTTGTCGCTGGAGCCAGGAGGAAATATTGTGCCCATTTTGAAGAGAGGAGAAAAAATGTGGACTTGCCTGGGGGCACTGGAGAAGCAGGGGGGCCAGGGGAAACACAGGCCACAGGCTAAAGGGCTTGTGTGACTTCAAGTCCCTACTGGGCAGCCTGCCTGGGTGCCTGATTTCCTCCCCTAGTCCTGGCGAAGCACCCTGTAGATGCCTGCCTTCCCCATGCAGAGGAGGCAGCTGGGTGAGGAAGGGGTCGGGGCCTTGGATGCTCTGCTCTGGTTGTGTCCAACTCACCAGCTCAGGGTTCCCTCTGATGAGCTGCCCCTTTCACCGGCATTGCTCTGAGGAGCCATAAGGATTCTAAGAAACCCCTTTAAATTTCTAGGGCTTGAAAAAAAAGGTGGAAACCCACTGTTTCCAACCACCATGGACAGCAGAGCCCCTAGCCCAGAGCCAAGCCCAATGTTTAGGTTACCCATGCCTGCCTCTGACTAGTGTGGCCACAGGTGTCTTTTTTCACTAGTGTTTGCTGAATGCTTTACCACATGCCCAGAACTGTTCTATGTGCTGTGCATGTACTGACTCTTTAATCTCTACCACACGTCTGGTATGGGTTCTACTATTATTCCCATTTCACAGATGAGCAGAAAAAGCACAGACCAGCTCTTACCACACAACTAGTCAATGGCAGATGTAGGATCTAAACCAGGTACTTGGGCTCTAGGACTCATTTTCTTATCCATATGCTCTACTGTCCAACATCAGTACCTCAGCTGACCTTCCCTATAAAACAGGTATTATTTATACCAGGAAAGGTATCACTCAACTCAAGGAATCAACACTCAGACACTGTTCTGTGTCTTTCCAGGAGCCCTGGTGCTAGGGGTCTGGGTCACACCTCCTCCCCTGAGCCCGAGCCAAGGCACTCATGTTAGTGGGGTTCATCTTCTCCGCCCTGCTTGCAGAAATCACCCTTTGGGCATTCCCGGCCAAGGACGATCATTCCTGGAAGCTCACTGCTCTAATGGCCATGACTCCTATACTGCCAATAATCTCCTTAGACTCTTGTGTCCCCCTGTGCCTGCACTGGGAGCCTGGTCTGGGCCTTGGACCCCCACCTCCCTGGATGCTCTAGGCAAGTTCTCAGTAATGACATTTCAGTCATTCACAGGCCTTTGACTCTCATATTGTTTAGTTTTTCCTACTCTAAATTTTGTCTTGCTGGAGCACTATGGGCTTCTTTATGAGGGAGGGAGCTTTTAAGTTTCTCTGCATGCCCCAGACCCAGCAGAGTACCAAACTCCCAAGGAACTCAATACAGACCTTCTTTTACTCGGTGCCCTTAGGACTTGCTACTTACACAATCCAGTCCACAGCCAGGATTAGAGAGAGGTCCCGCGTGGGCAGCCCAATGGCCTCCAGGATAATGGCGATGGTGAGGACTCCTCCAGCTGGTACACCTGCTGCCCCAACACTGGACGCCGTGGCTGTCACTCTAAGGGATGGCACAGCAGGGGCAGCTGTTCACACAGGGCATGGAGTGGGCGCCAAGAAATGCAGAACACAGCAGCCCCGGCTTGGAAACTGAAACCCACCCGACCCTAGGTTCTGCTGGCTGAGCCCTTAAAGATGATTCACTCTCATCAAGTAAATTCACCCTGTCCTCATTTTATAAACACCTGAGTACAGCTATCTGTAGATTTTATAGATACCAGAGTCATATTGAGATTGGTATTCATGAGGTTTTTCACAAGAAAGCACAAGAAAAAACTTAAGTTTCGACCCAGGCTTAAGGATGAAGGAAAGAATAATGAACTTACAGAATCGTGAAAATCTGTCCTGCTCTCAGCTCGATGTTGTTGAGCTGGGCAATGAACACTGCAGCCACGCACTGGAAGATGGCTGCTCCGTCCATGTTCACAGTGGCCCCAATGGGGAGAATGAACCTGCTGATCCTCTTGTCTACACCATTGTTTTCTTCAATGCACTTAATCATAGAGGGAAGGGTCGCTGAGCTAGAAATGGGAAAACCACCACCCATGAGAGCCATCCTTCCAGGTCAGGCTAACACATTACTCAGACTCGGGAACAGAGCGGTTAGCACCACCCTTGTTTCTGGAGTTCTCGCCTTGAAATAAAGAAAAATCAGAATTGTTTCAAAAGTTCTGTCACAACATGGGGTTCTGTCAACTCCCAAAGCATCCAAAATCTGAGTCCTTATGTATATGTGTTATGTTATTTGCCTTGATGTACCTGTGCCAAATTTCTCAAGAACCACACATTGCCTCGTAGTGCAAAATGTTCTCAAGAGAACAAAGAACTACTTATTCTATAGGTGCATCTCCTCTGTTGAATGTTTTTCCCTAAACACTAAACAGCATACTATTATTTATTTTTTTATTTTAATTTTTTTTGGTATCATTAATATACACTTAGATGAACAACACTGTGGTTACTAGATTTCCCCCATTATCAAGTACCCACCACATTCCCCATTACAGTCACTATCCATCAGCATAGTAAGATGCTATAGAATCCCTACTTGTCTTCTCTGTGCTATACTGCCTTCCCCGTGCCCCGCCCCCACATTATGTGTGCTAATCATAAGCATACTATTTTTTTTTCTTCTGAGCCAAGAAGCAGGAATGGCTGTGAGAGTTTGAAAGAACAAGGCCTGCCCTCTCCAGCTAGCTCAGTAGGCTTTTGCAGAGGGTGGCTGGCAGAGCTGAGAAGTAGGTGTGTTTCTGTCGAAGCCAGAGAAACTTACCTCCCTAATTCTTTTTACCACCACAACCTTGTCATACAAACAGCCATTTGGGATGGGAGGAAACACACAGCAGAGAGGTAAAAACTCTGTGTGAATGAAATGAAGTGCTGCTATCCTTTCCAAGTTTTCTTCAGTTCATTTGCAAAGCCAGATATTTTTTTGAAGGATGTCCAATAATGACAAGGTCCGTATTCTGAGCTAAATCAGATGATCCCACGGTACTCTGGACTCCTAGAGAGCCAAGCACACGTCTGCCACCATGAGGCCTTGGTCTTGTTTTCTGATTCACACATCCAGAGTGAGAATTGGGCAGGTGTCATTCTAGGAACTCCCCTGCAATGCCTTCTGAGTTAAGTGGCTGCCTTCTTTTACTAAGGCAAAGGTTTTACAAATGATGGTGAGAATCTACAACTGGACTAAATAATAATCTGATTGACTTCTAAGGCACAAGATGGAGAAAGGAATGAGGCAATCCTTCATGCCGGCAATCCCAGAAATCCACTTCCAAAAGGCACTGGGGCTGGTAATACAAAAATACTGGTCAGAAGAGACCAACCTGGAGTTATGAAGGAATTAAAGTAAGTCCAAGGCATATGAAATACAGTGAAAAATACTGTTATATCTTTTATGTTGAGAGATGGCAACCACATTAGCATGGTGAGGATTTAGCAATGTACAGAATAGCTGAATCACTAGGTTGCATATCTGAAACCAACATAATATTGTGTATCAGCTGTATTTCAATGAAAACAAAAGTAAATGAGGAAAAACTATGATTCCTAAAGAATGAAAAACTTTAATTTATATGAAAAAAATTAGTCAAACAGGAAACTAAAAGACAATTATAAATCCATAAAAATTAAACAAAAAAATATGTCCAGATATCGGTTATGCATCTACTACTGGGCTCACGAGGGTCCACAGTAATGTCCCAGAGCAGCCAAGGCACCAAAAATCCACTTACCTGGAGCAGGTGGCAAATGCTGTTGCAAATGGTGTGAGGAGGCCCACAAGGAACCTGAATGGGTTTTTTCGTGTGAAAGCAAAATAAGTAAGTGGCAGAACAATTCCTCCATGAATAAAATGGCCCAATATAGACGTGAAGATATATTTCCCAAGGCTGGTCACGAGCCCAATGATGTCCTTCATTTCCACAATCTTGCTCCCAACCAGGAACATGATGCCCACGGGCACATACCTAAGGCATGAGCACAGACTACTTGTGAGTAAGAGTGGAGTGGCAATGGGGCTGGGAGACGCAGGCCTGCCTGATGTAAAACATGGAGACTCTAACTAGGTGGTCTTCAGCTCTCCCTAGGATGACCCTGAGGAATAGAAAGGGTGGGCCCATTTTACAGGCCATGAAACTGAATAAAATTAACATGATAAATCACCAATGATGATGGAGTCAGTATCAAAACCCAGGCTTCTTTCCACTTGGATATATGATATTCTTGAGGATGAATGCTACAGACCACACAGGCTCCCAAGCAGGGAGCCCAGGAACTCCTCAAGGTCAAGCCTCTGGGACTGTGAGCTTGACTTGCACCTTTGCTCAGGCTATTCTGAGAACTCAGTAACATGAGAGACTAACACCTATTTTGCAGAATTGCTGTGGTACAGACTTGAGCCAAAGTTGGGACTTCTGTGAAGTTTTAAATTCTTTGTGGTTTGGAAAACATGATTCCGTGGGAAAAAGTCATTAACAATGACCCTCTGGGAACACTTGTGGAACGTGAAGATTTTTTTAATGTTAGGATGGGAAGAGGGAAGGGAAGGAATGAACTATGGGAGCTACAAAAAACAAATATCAGTTGCTTTGAATTTAATATAAATCAAGTAAGAATTTTATAGCCATTGACTTTCTTGGTCAATTTTAATTATATTGATAATAATGTCACATAGTTCAAATTTCAAAGGGTACAGAAGGGGAAACAGTGTGAAGTCTCCCTTCTACCTCTGTCCCCCAAGCACCCAGCTTCCTTTCCTGGAGATAGCCAATGCCATTGGTTTCTTGCATTTTCCTTCCAGACATATTCTAAGGAGTATTGTTAATTTTAAATCCCATAATAGTACATGAATACATTCTCCTTTCAAAAAATTAAAATACAGTAGATAGGCCCAAATCCTCCTTAGGCACCATCCCAAGCTGGGCAGACCCTTCCTCAAATAACCGCTCCTACTTCCTATGCATCTGGACCCATAGCTGCATATTTAAATCTTTACATTTTAAACCCCACATAATGTCTTTGAGATCTTTTCCTATCAATACATAGAAATCAACCTCATTCTGTTTTTTTAATTGTGGTAAAATATGCATTTTTAACTACTTTCAAGTGTATGGTTTAGTGGCATTAAGTGCATCCATATTGTTATGCAACCATCACCCTATCCATCCAGAACACTTCCATTCCCATACTGAAACTTGGTATTCATTAAACAATAACCTTTGTCCCTTCTTCCCCTGTCCTGGTAACCACTGTTTCTGTCTCTTTGATTGGACTATTCTAGATTCCTTTTATAAATGGAATCATACAATATTTGTTATTTTGTGTCTGGCTTTTGTTGCTTAGCACGGCGTCTTTGAGGTTCACCCATGTGTCTCATGGGTCAGAATTTCTTTCCTTCTTAAGGCCGAATGATATTGCACTGTATGTATATTATCCACTCATTTGTGAGGGGACATTTGGCTTGTTTCCACCTCTACCTCATTCTTTTCCAATGTCATCCTCCGAACCAAAATACTATAAATTATTTTGCCATTACCCTGCTGATGGACACTTCCATTACTCCCAGGTTATCATCAGTACAAACAAGGCTGCAAAGAGGTTCTTTGTGCCCCCATACCTGGGTTCTCTAGAAGTGGAGCTGCTGAGATACAGGCAGGGTGTGTGTGTGTCACATTTTAAATTTCAGTGAATACCGACAAACTGTTCTCCAATATGGCTATTCCAAGTCACGTTCCCACCAGCTGTCTATGAGAAAAATCCCTTTCCTGGACCACTGACTCTCATGGGGAATGATTTTGCCCCTAGGGGAAATTTGGCAATATCTGGACATGCTTTTGGTTGTCAAAACTTTGGGGATGAGCAGGTGATGCTGGTACCTAGTGGGTGGGGGCCAGGGATTCGTCAACCATGTTACAACACACAGGGTGGCCTCCAAAGAATCCTCCGACCCCAAGTGTCTAAGCATGCTGCTGTGTAGACACCCTAGTCCCACCCTTATCAATGCCTGCTAAACCAAGCTTTCCATTGCCCTGATCTCTAGTAGGCTGGACAGCCCTCAAAATGTTTATTGGTCATTCAGGTTTTCTCTCCTGTGAATTGCTTGCTCACATATTTTGTCCATTTTCTAATAGTTTATTCAGCCTTTTTTCATTTTCAGCAATCAGAACTCTTTATATTAGTGCTTCTCAAACTGTCTTTGTGAAAGGCTGGTTTCTTTCTATCCAATCAGTCATGGCCCAGTGTTCTTACAAAAGACACTAAGAATATTAGAAAAATGATCATGTGCTTTGATACTGCAGCAATAGGAAATGGCTATAAAAGGTTTTGAACACTTATTACCTCTAAATAAACACCACTGCAGACAGTTTGTAAGCTGGCTCCAGTCCTTTGATCTAATGTTTTGAGACTGTGTGTGTATATATATACACACCATATGAAATAAATATCAGTGTTTTTCAGAGTCTTGTCTTTACTTTGTTCAAGGTATCATTTGCATGCAAACCTTTTGTATTTTTGATACCGTCAAATAAACAGATTTTTATGGCCTTTAGTTTTTGTATTTTGTTTAAGACTTTCCTACCCCTGTATTTTTTTTAATACTTTCAGAGGAACTCCCTCCTTTTTTCCTCTTTCCTCCCTGGATAGAGTAACACGTGGGTTGACGGCATGAGTTTTATAGGAGCATGGCTATGCTCATTCACTTACAAATCTTCTAAGGTGCTTTTGTCCTACAATGGCAGAGTCGGTAGTCGCCATAGAGATCTCAGGGCCTGCAAAGTTTGCTGACCTTGCACTTAATCCATAGAGAAATTATTCCTGTGAATAGGTGCTTTGACATCAGAGTAGGTAATTAGCATAATGAGCTACTAGTGAAGATACTTCCCACACTGCTTGAGATCCTTTAACCAGCAAAGGCATTTTAAACCCCAATTCTGTTTGAGATGTGCTTTCTGGGCCACAGGTGTCCCACTGTAGTTAGACGCTTTACAGGGTCTGCTTTAGTGAATAGTTGCTTATATAACTAATATCAAATTGAACGAAGGACCACTGATTGGTTTCCAGGATGAAAATAAATGTCTTAACAAATGAATATAATTTTCTTGCATAGAGTTTCCTTTAATTCAAAGTTCGGGAGAATTTTAGACTAAAAAAATAATCCAGGAGAAGAACTTGACGTATGAGGAAAACACTTTTTCCTTTCTGAAAATATTTTTCTCCCCAGAAAAACAACAATCATATGTAGGGTCATGGTTGCAGTGACAGAGTCAGACTCTGGAATTTTTGGTTGAGCCAGAAAATTTAGTTGAGCAAGAAAAACACAACTAATGGGGGCTCTGATCATAGTGTCCCACTCAATTCCAAACTTTCCTACCAAATTCCAGACTTCTTCCCTAAAATCAGTCCACGGCCACCCCAATGCCATCTGAGATGAACTCCTGGGATGTTTAAGGGTTGATGATATGGAAAATGCTTTATGAACAAAAGGATAAACTAGTTTCTTGGCAACGAAGAGGCAGAAGCTAATACCCACAGAAGTTTGGCGTGGGTAAAACTTACTAATGGAATTGCTTTGATTTCTGAGACATTACTTTGAGGCATCTGGTCAAATTTTTACTTTATAGCCAGAAATCGATCTAATGGTTTTTATTAAACAATTACCCTTTCACTGATATTACATAAAGAAACATCTATGTAAGAAAAGACCATTTTAAGTTAATATATGCATGGGGTGAAGATGGATTTCTCTTACATGTTGTGAAGTACTAAAGCAGCCCCTTTGAAGCTTAAAACCTATCATTTTAAGGTAAATGAACCTTATTTTATGCAGCTGATAGCAAATTTATGGAATTCATTGCCCCATAAGATGATATATGCATCCCATATGGGATGATAGTAGGAACTCATAAATACATCAGCAGTGATAAAACCATAAGGGGGTCACTAAAGGGTGATAAGGAAGTGACTGGTAACCATGGCACATACCTGACTCTGAGGTCCTGGGCAAGAAGAGAAACTGTCTCCCCCTCCATCACTCCCTATACCAAGACTGGCCCAGGCACATCAACCATATAGGGACCTGAGCCAGGTGACCCCGCAGGAGTGACCTGGAACAGCAAAGCCGGGTTCTTTTCTGGATGGCAGGAGAAGTGAAGGGGAGACTCACCACATAATCCAGGATACCAGCACCATTGTCGCTTCATTGAAGGAATTGAAGAAACGGATGAGTTCTTCTCCTTCAGAGCCAAGTTTCTTTAGGGCCACTCCTAGCACCAGGGCAAAAAGGACCAATCCTAAAATGTTCATCCCTTCGATCTCAGTGCCAATGGGGATCTGCAGGATCAGAGGGGACAGCGGATCTAAGTTTACAACAGATGAATGAGAATTAAAGATGCATCACTTTGTCTCCACCAGACTGAAACTATGCCCAAAATGAGAAAAGACTTATATTTTCTTGGATCTTCAGCAATTTCACAAATCAGGGGGTAGGAAACTCAAGGGATAATGGAATTGGAAGATACAGAGAGTTAAACAAACAAAAATTTCACCTAGTTGTTAACTCTTAAAGCTGTTCAAAATTGGCAGAGGTTGAAGCAAAAAGTAATGAGCTTGCTGTCAGTGGACATATTCAAGTAGAGGCTGGACAATCACCTCAAAGGGTTGCTTTTAAAAGAAGAGCTGGTTGGTAAAAAAGTTCCTTCAGATCAAGTGTCAATGACTGTAACTTTTCTTCTCAAATGTCAACAATTTCTTTGTTGTTAGGCTGTTACAGTGGCCTCTTAGCTAACAATTTTCACAAAAGATTTTCAGGGTCAACATGGGTATTTTCAGGATATTTTTCCTAAATCACTGACTCAAAATGTATGGATATACTATATTCTTCATGTTTTCCAGTAATGCTGACTCTCACTACTACAAGCATATATTAAACAAACATTTTATTCCATCAAAACACATTATGAAATTCTGAAATGGAAACATGTCAGTTTGATCCGAGTTCTAGTCCCAACCCTGATACTAAAAAACTTCTCTGAGCTTCAGGTTCTTCATCTGCAAGATGAAGTGAACTTGACTAAAATAGTAGCCTTAAATTCTTTTTTTTAAGTAGAACTTTTTCTTCAAGCAAAGAAAGGTTAGTACACAGAACACCTCAGTCCTGGGAGGTATATGTGAGGGAGTGGAGGAAGGGAAAAATACCTTCTCCTTCCACTGACAGCTCTGTGGCTAGGTGGGATAATCCTTGAGGTCCCTCATCCCTTCCAGCTCTGTCCTGAAGTCGGGGAACCTAGTCCAGCATTTGGCAAACAATAGCTGCTCAAAAAAATATACACGAATGAATGATGGCTAGAGTGAGTGAAGCCCTTAAGACAAGTATGTCTACGTAGGAGTAGGTTAAGTCACCTATTAATTAATTATATTTCAGGACAGCAGGAGTGTTACAGAGTATTTTTTGGAAAAAGCGGATGTTAGTTTCAACTTGATAAAATGGATCTGCTAAGATTCTAATATTACAGATGCTGGCCTTTGGCCACGATGGCAAATAACCAAATGTGTAAGCCTACCCCATGTGCTTGCCTAAACTATGTGCTTTAAACAGTCCGTTCCAACCCCAAAGTTTTCAGCCTTGCTAAGAAGAGAGTACATATCACGTATATTCCTTCAATTAAGTAGCACTATTTGCTTCACACATATTTATCACAAGTGATCTTATAAAGAACTTTACCTTTTCATGGGTTACATTTCCAGAGCTTGTGTTGTGGGTCAACTCTTTATAATCAGTTGCATACTGTGAACAAGAGGAAGAAAAACCCACTGTCAGTTCACAGGTGGAGACTGGCCCAGAGGAGTGCTGGGCCTCTTGCTACTCCGGCATTATTCACTCCCGAGTGCTCTGGGTGTTCCTCACTAGGGTGGCCTGATAAAGGCCTCTGAAAACTGTACGAAAGGTACTTAAGACCAAGGCAGCAAGTATTCCAAGAGTTATCTAGGGACCCGAGGAAACAGAGAGTTTCCTCAGGTCCTTTGGACAAAGGTTTGGAAGAGGAGGTTGGAACAATTTCATGCTGATAATTTGGTATTTCAAACAGCTGACAGTTCGTATTATTTGGGGAACCTTGGTATTGATTCCATAATGCCAAAAGTCACTTTTCAATGTGTCATTTTATTTTCATTCATTTATTTATGTTCCACTTTGTTCCAGAGCTTCTTTGAGCTTGACAGCTTTTCAGCATCTGTTTCTAATCTGCCTTGAGCCTCCACTCCCCAAAGAAAAGGCTGTGAGGCAGGATGGGGTTTTCTGGCTGACTCTTCTTGACACTCACTTAACAGAAGAGAAATGGCTCACGAAATTTTGGTCCCGCAGTTGACTCCACATACAGCTACATGGAGTCTTCCTGCGGCAGTACGTACCACTGAAATCTGTTATGAAACTCACTTCCTGAGCCCTTTAAGGACACCAGACTTCTGAACTGTCCAGAGGAGCCCACCAGATGGTACAGACCAGAAGGCCTGCTCTGTGCCTGCCCTGGTCTCTCCTGGCTTTGATTTATCAAGCTTTCAGATGGGCAGAGGTGTTCAGCCATCCTGTGATCAAGGGGGTGGAGGAACAAAACCCACTCACACCTTCTGTGACAGGCACTGAAAGCACCGTAAACCTTTTGTTTTCTCCTACGCCATACTATATACATAAAGCACAGCTATGCTTCTATGCAGATTGTTTTTAAAAAGACAGAGGCCATAAGTAGAAACAGAAAAGTTTTTAGTTGAAAAAGGTAATCAGATAGGCCATCTAATCTAGACCTTTGTATTTCATCTCTGTGTAAAGGATGGCCACCAGCATATTACTCTCAGCCTTGCCAAAATTAGGAAAAAACTAGAAACAATCTGAACGTCTATCAACAAGGGACTGATAAAGTTATGGGACACTCATGCAGTGGAATATAGCCAATAATATTATGCAGAAGGATATTTAATCAAATGAGTTCACAGTATACCGCCTTAAAAAAGAAATTACAGAACAGTATCTGTAGTTTGTGCAATACTAACAATATGTGTAGTGCAATTGTTTTTAAAATGTGAGCAAACGTAGAAAAAACACACCTGAAGGCTGTACACCAATGTGACTTCTATTTTCTTCCAGTTTTTGTATCTTACATTTAATTTTTTTGCAATGAGCACATATTTCCTTTATAATCAGAAAAAAAACTAGCAATGTATTTTTTTTTTTAATTCTGAAATATTTGAGAGATCGCCAAAATGTGATTTGAGGGTACTTCTCAGGTGATGTGAAAAGATGCTGGAACCAGTAGCATATTTTAGAAAAATATTTTGGTTTTGGTTTTGGTTTTGTTTAGTTTTAGTCCAGAGCCCATCTATGAAAATGTTCACCAATGTTACCAAGTTCTGTTAACAACACTATCCCTCCTTGTTTCATCTTGCCTAACCCTACAGCAGTAAATTATACATCCTCCCTGTACCCACGACTAAATTCCATATTTTTTAGCAAAGCATAAGCCCTACCGTACGGAAAGCCGCAACCACAAGATTGGAGGGAAACAGGTTTCTGTTGAGAAAGAGAGCATTTTGTTAGTAATCTTAAAACTCAGTGTTCAAAGTGTCTGCTTTAAGATGCCCCTTCCTGCCTCCTAAAACAATATTCCCTCTCTACCCGCAGCACAGACTGCGGCCTGTCCTTAATCCAAGCACCCATCTATGCCTCAGCAGCTGGGCTGCAAGAGATACTTTGAGGGCACCGATTTTTATCCTCATCTCCATCACAGTACTCCTTGGTATTCAGGCTCCCCTGTGTCCCTCCAAACCAGAAGAGTTGCCTCGCCTTCCCTTCCCCTAGAGGCCAAGCCCAATGCAGTGGTTTTCAGTGGGAGTGGTGCTGCCTGCTAGTGAACTCCACTGGAGTGTTTTTCTTTTCACAGTAACTGGGGGCATTCCTGAAAAGGGGGGAGTGTGTATAGGGGCATGTGCCAGGGCCTGGCCATTCATTCTGCTAAATGTGTCAAGTCCTGAACAATAAATGGTCTCAAAGCCCTCATGCTTCCAGTGTTGTATGACATACCTGTAGAGGAAAACCTTATTTACCTGCTCCTCCAACCTAATTGTTCATCAGTAGATGAATGGATAAAGAAGATGTGGTACATACACACGATGGAATACTATTCAGCCATAAGAAAGAAACAAATCCTACCATTTGCAACAACATGGATGGAGCTAGTGGATATTATGCTCAGTGAAATAAGCCAGGCAGAGAAGACAAGTACCAAATGATTTCCCTCATCTGTGGAGTATAACAACAAAGCAAAACTGAAGGAACAAAACAGGGGCGGACTCACAGACTCCAAGAAGGGATTAGCGGTTACCAAAGGGGAAGGGTGGGGGAGGGTGGGTGTGGAGGGAGGGAGAAGAGGATTGAGGGGTATTATGATTAGTACACATGGTGTGGAGGGGATCATGGGGAAGGCAGTGTAGCACTGAGAGGACAAGTAGTGACTCTGGCATCTTACTACACTGATGAACAGTGACTGCAGTGGGGTATGGGGGGACTTCATAACATGGGAGAATGTAGTAACCTATTGTTTTTCATGTAAAACCTTCATAAGAGTGTATATCAATGATACTTAATAAAAAAGTAAAATAAATAAATAGAAAATTACCTAACTTAACCCTTTCCCATATTCTGCAGTGACCCTGTTTTTTCCCTCATTTTATGAGCCATCCCACAGCTCCTCTGCTGTGTGTTCTCTTACAGCAGCAATTTAATAAACAAATTCTGTCCATCCACAAAAAAGTAATAATAATTAC